ATGGAATTAAAGGTGCAGGAGAAGCCTGTTCCCGTGTGCTGGATGAGCCAGCAGGGGAGAAAACAAGGCTGGCAGGACAGAGGGTTTTGTCTGGAATTCAGGATAAAAAGGAGAGTCCAGGACCTTTGGGAAAGAGGCAGGAAATTCAGGACAATGAGGTTGCAGGGAGATGAAGGGAGAAAAGTTAAAGGGACCAAAGTCCAGCTAGAATTTAATGTCTGCTGTCAAAAAAGACAATTAAAAATGCTCCTGTAAATACATCAGCAAGAGAAGGACAGCTGAGGAGAATCACCATCCTTTACTGGGGAGACACAAAGGATGAGGGAGAGGCTGAGGTTCCCAATGTCTTCCTGGTCTCTTTGCTGGTTTAACAGTAAAACCAGCTGTCCTGCAGGTACCCCCTGAGCTGGAAAACAGGGACCTGATCTCCTGTGACAGGGTGGCCACTCCATGGATGAGGAAAAGGCTGTGGGTGATGCCAGCCTGGATTTAATTAAGCTTTGACACCGTTTTCCGCATCATTCTCTTGGAGAAACTGAATTCCTTTAACTTGAATGGGTCCATTCTTCACTGGGACAAACCTGACTGGGTTACAAAACCCAGAAAGTGGGAATGGAATAAATCCAGCTGGTGCTCAGTCACCAGAGGTGTCCCCAGGGCTCAGTTTGGGGCCAGTCTTGTTTAATATCATCATTAATGATCTGGATGAGGGGATTGAGTACATCCTCACTCAGTTCATAAACTGCAGGGGAATGTTGACTTGCTGGAGGGCAGGACAGCTCTGCAGAGGGATCTGCATCCATGGGAATGCTGGGTTATTCCTGGACTCGACCTTCAAGGCCTTTTCCAGCCTAGAAGTGTCTGTGATTCTACACCACAAGGGCTAGAGATGCTGAGAGGTGAGTGAAGGCTGCCTGGCCATGCCCTCCTGGAGTGGCACAAACACAGCCCTTGTAGTAAATAAACCTGAAATAAGCTCTGCAAAGCCCAGCAGCTGGGAGAGAGGGGGCAGAGCCATGTGCTGCTCACACATCCACTCCCTCTGCAGGCTCTCCTTTCCACACTCCTAATCCCTGACCCATTTTCAAACATTTGGGGGCATTTAGGAACTGAAATCTCTGCCCTCCCTCTCTGCTGTGCTGGGGCCTCACCCTCCCCTGAGCCCCAGGGTGGGGTCTGTGGGAATTAATAAAGGTAAGCTCACTGTACATGAGCTTTTACCATCTTTCATTGTCTCAGCCATGCAATGAGGCTGATGCTGCAATGAAAGCTCAAAGATTGTACCCCAGCAGTCCCATCCTGTTTGTGAAAATAAACCCCAAACACAGCGTCCAGCTCCACAGGTCAGGCTGGGGCAGGCACAGCCCTGACACCCAGGACAGTGCAAGATGCCCCTGTGGGCAGTGCTGGACTGCAGGAATTGCTGAACAATTTGGGATATGAGGCACTTTAGGAACAGCCACCCCTAAAAAGGCACTCGAGGCACACTTCCAGGTGGGGATCTCCACCCAGACCCTTTTTCCTCCTCCTTGTTCACTTCCACATCTCCCCAGTGCCACAGCAAGCAGCATTTCCAGCCCTGGCTGCCCAGACAGCCAAAGCTACCCAGGAATGCTCCCAAGAGGCAAAGGATTGGTGTAACCCAGCAGCTTTCTGTGCTGGGGGATGGAGAAAAGACAGCCCTGCTGTGGAAACTGCAGCTGCCCCAGTCCCAGGCAGGAGCCAGGGCAGGATTTTGTAACAACGCCCAAGCTGTGTTTGTGGCATTCACTCCAGCAAAACTTTAAAAACAAAAACAATCTGTTTGGCCAAAGTGGATAAAAGCAGTGAATGTAGGGCCAAGCTCCAGCTGGCTGCACAGCAACACCTGGGGTTGTGTCCCCTCTGTGTCCCCACCTCTGTGGCAGTGGCACGAGGTACAGCCAGCAGCAGAGTGTTTGCTTCTGCCTGCTGTGTTTGCAGGAAGAATTTAATGTTTGTCACTGATTTCCCTCCAGTGAAGTCACCACAGTGTGTTTTGTCAGATGTGTTTAACCTGAGCCAACTCTGCCAGTGTAAAATCCTAAAATCCAATTTAAACAGCGACTCCTGACTTCAGTGCTCCATTTTTTAATGTGTCTATAAAGCTTTTTAATACAAAATATTTTAACAGGCCAAAGTTGGTTTTCTTTTTCCCAGCCACGGAAAGGTTTGGCTTTGGTGGTGCCATAATATTTTTTCATCCACTATTTCTCTCTTTTTATTCCAGCTGCCCCCAGAGCTGCACAGTTTATATTTCACCAGTTTTACTAATGTTGCCTTAGAGGGAAGAAATCAGACTTTCAACACCCAGACTCCACTGCAAGCTTGAGGTTTCCTGGCAGTGCAGCTGAGCTTTGCAGCACCGAGGTCATTTGTCCAGTGCAAACAGCCCAAAATTCCCTGTCCCCTCCACATCCACGTGCTCTGGGTGCTGGAGTGGTTCTGCAAATAATCACTCACTCATCTCAGCTTTGGCTACCCGCAGCCACAATATTTGAAGTAAGAAGAGGAAGCCAAAAAAAGAGAACAATTATTTGGACAACAAACCCTGCTCCGCAAGTGCTACCGAAATGCAAATAATACACCACAGTGAAAATACAAACCACAAAAATACAAAGCAGAGATGTGGGCATGGGAAGTCTCTGTGCCTCAGGGTCCTGCCTCCAGCTGGGGAGAACTGGAGCCCCCAACACTGCAAGATCATCCCTCTGTGCCCCCTCAAACCCGCGGTGCCCTGGGCATTGCAGAACAGAAGAGACTGACAGGAGATAAAGTGATACAGGAGATAAACCAGGCAGAGATATTGATCTTTGCAATCAAGAGGTTAATTCTCATTTCTCCTGAATGCTGTTTAGTAATCACAGCCTGCACGGAGCTAAATTGCATCTGCACCCCGGAGTGAGTGCCTACAACAAGTGTGTACCTACACTGAGTAGTGTTCCTACACTGAATGTGCACATACACTGAGTGTGTTCCTACACCAAGTGTGTTCCTACACCGGGTGTGTACCTACACTGAGTAGTGTTCCTATACTGCACCTACACCACATGTGTTCCTATACCGAGTGTGTTCTTACACTGTGTACCTGCACCAAGTGTGTTCCTACACTGAATGTGTTCCTACACTGTGTGCACCTACACCATGTGTGTACCTACACTGAGTAGTGTTCCTACACTGCACCTACACCAAGTGTGTTCCTACACTGTGCACCTACACCACGTGTGTTCCTACACCGAGTGTGCACCTACACCAAGTGTGTTCCTATACCGAGTGTGTTCTTACACTGTGTACCTGCACCAAGTGTGTTCCTACACTGTGTTCCTACACTGTGTGCACCTACTCCAAGTGTGTACCTACACTGAGTAGTGTTCCTACACCGAGTGTGTTCCTACACTGAGTGTTTTCCTACACCAAGTGTGTTCCTACACTGTGTTCCTACACCGAGTGTGTACCTACATGGAGTAGTGTTTCTATACCGGGTGTGTACCTACACTGAGTAGTGTTCCTACACTGTGCACCTCCACCGAGTGTGCTCCTACACTGAGTGTTTTCCTACACCAAGTGTGTTCCTACACTGTGTTCCTACACCGAGTGTGTACCTACATGGAGTAGTGTTTCTATGCCAGGTGTGTACCTACACTGAGTAGTGTTCCTACACTGTGCACCTACACCAAGTGTGCGCCTACACCGAGTGTGCACCTACACTGAGTGTGTCCCTACACCGAGTGTGCACCTACACTGAGTGTGTCCCTTCACCGAGTGTGACCTACACCGGGTGTGTACCTGCACCGAGTGTTCCTCCCCAGCACCCCGCAGCCTCGGGGCTCTCGGTGCCTGTGCAGCACAGAGCAAGCAGCGCTGCCTGCCAGCCCCGCTCCTGCCCTTCGCCTGCTCGTGTTTATCCCGGGGCTGCCCTGCGGCCTCTCAGGCCACAAATGTCACCGTGTCACCGCACCCTTCCTTGGCCGCACCCTCCCAGCACCGGGGGCACTGCTGGCACCCCTGCAGGAGGATGAGGGAGAGGCTGAGCTTCCCAATGCCTTCCTGGTCTCAGTGTTTAACAGTAAAACCAGCTGTCCTGCAGGTACCCCCTGAGCTGGAAAACAGGGACCTGATCTCCTGTGACAGGGTGGCCACTCCATGGATGAGGAAAAGGCTGTGGGTGATGCCAGCCTGGATTTAATTAAGCTTTGACACCGTTTCCCACAGCATTCTCCTGGAGGAACTGAATTCCTTTAACTTGGATGGGTCCATTCTTCACTGGGACAAACCTGACTGGGTTAAAAGCCACATTCCCTGTCCCTGCTGCAGTGCTGAGCTGGGCAGGGGACAAGAGGAGCCGGGTCAGTCACAACGCCTGGGGAGGACAGGGCTCTTAGAGCTTCTCCTCCTTCCCAGGCAGGATCAGCAGCACTTTAGGAAACAGAAAAAGGAGCAGCAGGAGCTCCCAGAGCCCTTTTTGCCCTGAGGGGTGTGAGAGCTCGGGCAGTTTGTCCCCACACCTCTCAGCAGCAATGTCCCCTCCGTGCTCCCTGCACCCATGTGTCCCGGGCACCCAGGTGTCCTCTCACCCCCAAACTGACCACAACGACAGCGACAACGCCACCAACACCCCCGCGGTGCGTAGAAATGCGGGGGGTCCGCACACCCGAGCATCCCTCAAGCATCCCCCGGGACACGGCGGCCCGAGAGGTCCCGGGAGCTTTTGCTGCCCTTTTCCCGAGTATTCCTGAAAGAACCCCGCACTGCACACCCTCCCGGGCGCGGGTCCAGCGTGTCACACCGGGGTGCACCCCCAACACAAATCGCTGCTCCCCTCCAGCCAGGGACTGTCCTGTCCTGTCCTGTCCTGTCCTGTCCTGTCCTGTCTCGTCCTGTCTCGTCCTGTCCTGTCCTGTCCCGCAGCCCACCCTGCCCGGGGACACCAGGCAGAGCCTGGCACACGGGACAAAAACCCCTCCACACCCAGCCCAAGCGACCTGCAGCCGTCCCGCGGTCTGAGCGGCGCTTCCAAGGTGCCATGGAAAATCCAAATCTTCTCCCGTCCCTCCTCCCCGGGCTCGCTGTCATCTGAGCCTTGCAGCTAAACAAACCGGGCGCTTTACGAGCTTTTGGCTGGGCTGTGATTGTAGCCGCGTGTCACCCGACTTCCCAGTGCCACATTCCTGAGTGCCACAGTCACAGGCTCACATTCTAGGCAAACGCTCCGTTTATTTCTATCACTGCTTTTGGGGGTTTTCCCCTACAGAAAGTCCTGTAACACTTGGTAAAACAAAACCCCAGAGAGCATTCGCAGTTTCTGGGCGGTGATCAAACTGTCCCAGAGCCGGCAGCCCCGAGCCCGCCCCGCTGCCTGCATCCCTTCCCCGCCGGTTTGTCGCAGATCAAATTCAGGAGTTTTGCCACCTCTGCAAAGTGCCCCGGGCTGGACAATCCTGCCACCCCCGCCCCAGGTGCCCTCCTGGGCTGGAGGGCTCCCACAGCCACCGGCGGGGTTGTGAGAAGGGGACCGGGAGCAGTCCCACGGTGCAGGGGGGTCCAGCCCCGCTCCCAGCTCCCTGCAAGGTCATGAGGTAGCTCAGTCCCAGGCCAGTTCAGTCCCGGCCACGGCCAGAAAGTCCCTCCGAGGACGAGCATTCTGCACAGCCTGGCATCCCCCACCCCGCTAAGAGACCCCCGGGTGGTGCCCCGAACCAGGGGGGCTGCCAGCAGCCCCTCCACCCTGCCAGGGGCCAGCCTTGCTTTGCAGAGTCTGAGTCTGGGATTTCTCGCAGCTGTTAGTTTTTAGGCACTCTCTAAAAAAGAATCACTGTTGTTATGAAAGGAGGTCGATTTTCCTTGCAAAGGCTCCTCTGTGCAACCCCCGCCCGAGCCCCCAGCACCCTCCCCGCCGGGCACAGTACCTTTGCCGTGCAAAAAGTCCTCGGGGCGAGGGAAGGAGCCCTCCTCGCAGAGCAAGTCGCAGGTTTTATCCGGGGCCAGGGGGTAGCCGTTGTCCTCCTCGTTGTAGTCGCTCCTGCCGTTGCTGTTGGAGTAGCCGTTGGCGTACATCTTCAGGGCAGACCTGCGCAGGCACAGCAGCTCCTGGAAGGCGTACCTGAAGTCAGGGCTGCGGCAGTAGATCAGGGGGTTGAAGGCAGAGTTGACGTAGCCCAGCCAGTTCAGGAGGATGTACAGGTACTTGGGAATGATGTTGTCCTGGATGACGTGCACGATGTTGACGATGAAGAAGGGCAGCCAGCACAGCGTGAAGGTGCCCATGATGATGCCCAGGGTTTTGAGGGCTTTGTGCTCCTTCAAGAAGAACTTGGAGGAGCGGCGGTGCCCGGCTCCCCCTTTCTGCTCCTGCTCCTTGTTCTGGGTGTGAAACCTCCCCTCGCTCCTGTCTATCTTCTGCAGCTGCTTCTTGGCCACCTGGAAGACCCTGGCGTACACGAAGACCATGACGACGAGGGGCAGGTAGAAGGAGATGATGGAGGAGGCGATGGCGTAGGCTTGGTTGGTGAAGAAGTCGCAGCACATCTCGTCCTGGTAGCAGCGGATGGCATCCTCGTGGTCTGCCCGGTACCAGTGCATCTGGATGGGCAGGAAGGAGGTCAGGCCCGACACCACCCACACCACCAGGATGACCACGCGCGCTTTGCCCTTGGTCAGCAGGCTCTGGTACTTGAACGGGGAGGTGATGGCGAAGTACCGGTCCACGGCGATGACGCACAGGGTCTCGATGCTGGCCGTGACGCACAGCACGTCCAGAGAGGTCCAGAACTCGCACCAGAAGTTCCCAAACTTCCACATCTCCATGATGATGTGGCAGGCGCCGAAGGGCACCACGGCCAGCCCCATGACCAGGTCGGCACAGGCCAGCGAGGTGATGAAGTAGTTGGTGACAGTCTGCAGGCGCTGGAAGCGGGCGATGGCCGTGATCACCAGCACGTTGCCGAAGACGATGGCCAGCACGATGAGGGACATCAGGATGCCCATGCCCACCACCCACACGTCCCGCGACACCGTGGGGTCGGCGGCGCTCTGGTTGGCGCTGGCGTTGCCGCCGGGCAGCTCTGTCCCCGCCGCGGCCATGGCCCGGCGACAACCCCGGGGCGGCGGGGAGGGCTCGGCTCCGCTCAGGGCTCCGCAGCCGCGGCGCCGCTCCGGGAGCCGCGCATACGGGACAGGTGCGGGACAGGTGCGGGGCCGCTGGGCTGGGGCGCCTGGCACCGCTCCGCTCCCGTCCCGCCCGTGTCCCAGCCCGTGTCCCAACCCGTGTCCCAGCCCGTTAGGCGCCGCGGAGCTTTTTAAGTGACAGCAGCCCGTGACATCAGCCCGCCGCAGCCAATGGCAGCCGGCACCGCACCCCGAGCCCCCCCGCACCCCGCGGCCACCCCCCCCTGCCCCACGCGCGTCCCCGCCCCGTGCGCAGCATCCCCGCCGTGTCCCCGCAGCCCGCTCCGTGCGCGCTCCCCTTCCTCGCCGTGTCCCCCTGTCCCCCGCCCCAGGGTGACCCTGTGCTCGCTGCCGTGTCCCCGTGCCTTCTGCCCGCAGCGCGATCCCTACGTCACTGATGTCCCCACGCTCCCCGCCCGGAGGTGTCCCCAGACCACCCGTGCCCCCCGTGTGCTCACCAGCACGCACAGCACCGGGAAAATCCCGAGGATTCTGGGGCTCCTGGCACCCCGTTGTTGTTGGTGGCACCCCGTGTCAGGATGTCACCCAGGTCCCCATCCCTGCCAGTCCCCAGCTCAGCGCTCTTGCTCCACCCCAGTAGTGAGGGACATCCAAGTGGAGCAGCCACAGAAATCCCAGAGCTGGTCAAGGGTAGAGACACCCCTTAACTGTCCTGGGGGCATTTGCCAGGCAGGGGGTGACCACTGGACACTGTGGCCGGCCACGCTGCAGCCAGGCATGTGGTCAGAGATAGACACTATCACAAGCATTCCCCTCCAAAACAAACAAATTGTCTAAATAAGGGCTGAGGAATCCTGAAAACTTCCTTTTAGCCTGAAAGCAGATAACGCTGCCTCTGGAGTTTCATTTCTGCCATCCCTCTGAAGCAGCACTGCTCTCCAGAGGCACATCTCACCCTGCTGGCCCTGGCTGCTTTAGAGGTGACAGCTGAAAGCTGTGGTTCTAAAACTGCCCTCTACCACAGAAAGGGAGAAAATAAAGAATTCTTTTCACCCAGATTACCCCAAAGCCACCAGCAGCAGCTGCAGGTCGGTCCTGGTTGGATGCAGCTCTGTGGCCCTCCCACGGCACAGGCAGTGCCAGACTCCTGCCTGTGCAGCAATTAAACACTTATCAATGGTGAATCTTACTTGAAACTCATCAGCTCTTGGGCTCTGATGCGTTTTCATGATTCTGCCTCATTTTTCCTGCAGTGCTGGGGTGCCAGGGCTAGGTTCCCCACTCTTTGCTGTCTTTGCCACACTGCCCCACACCACAGCCTGCTGGGTGTCCATGCCATGCCCCAGCTGTGCTGGGGATATTTATTTATAGGGAAGGGAGGAAGGGTTGTGGTCTAAAGCAGAGGGCAGATGAGGTACTGCAATCAGGAAATGAGATTAAAGGCAGTTAGGAAGTGTCTGCCTTGCCCTGAACCGGCGGCTTCCCTGCTCTTCCCACTCTCCACCTCTGCATCCACACACTTCAGAGGTTAAAAAAAGAAAAGAGGACCCAGAAGTCACCCCCCTACACTGCAGACATTTGGGAAAGCAGGGGCGCTGGGAGGAGCTCATGACCTGAGCTGATCACCTGGAGCTTCCCTTGCTGTAAGAAAAATGAGGTAAAAAAAGGGGCCAGCCCTCCCTACACTCACACCAGGCAGAGCTGGGACCTGCTGGGTTCAGTTTGTGGCACCAAGGCTTTCTCAGAGCTCACCCCAGCAGGGCTGTGCCCCACAGGGGCTCAGGGAGCCCCAGCTGGCTGCAATGTCCATTCCCACCTTCTGCCCCAGGCCAGCAGTGCTCACCTTGCAGGGAAAACACGGCCAAAAGCTCCTGGGAAAGGAGGGATGTGGAGGAGATGCAGTAGTGGGACAGAAAAAAACAGAAGGAAAAGCAGAAATTGTGGGAGCTACACCTCATCCTCAGCTCCCTGTTCCCCCTTTTTTGGTAAGAGCGGATGTGGCAGCTCTAGGAACCACTCGAGGTGTCAGGCAGTGACCAGGTGAGTTTGCTGGGCTGTTCCTGAGTATTCTGACACCAAATCCAAGCATTCCTAAAGAAATAAGTCCCTTATCCTCATAAACATACAGATGTTCATCCTACAGATGTTCATCCTACAGATGTTCAGCCTTGCAGGCAGCACTGGGCCCTGGCAGGAGCAGAAGCAGATTTGGGGATGTGGTGGGAGGGAGAGACAAAGGCTTCAACAAACACAAGTGTGTTACCCAAGGCAGCCCTGTGTCTCTAATCCCCTCCAGAGGAGCTCCAGGGCTCTGTGAATCCCTGCCCAGGGTGCAGGGATCAGCCAGCCCCATCTCCAGACCGATTTTTTTGAGTATGTTGTACTCTGTTCAAAGAAATCTCAGCCCGGGCTTTGGTCAAGAGGCTGTGCTGGAGGAAGCAGGGCATGGCTGGTTTTTGTTCCTTGGTTTTCTCCCTTGGTTTCCTCTTTGGCAATCTTTGTTCACCTTTTAGGGTGGGCCCAGGGCTTGAGATGATTTTTGTCTTGGACTCCACAGCTCTGACCCTCAGTGAGTTGGACACAGGTTCAGAAACAAGGCAGGAATTTGCCTGACATAAAAATAAATTTCATCACCCCAAGTCTCACTGGCTTTTGAGGTTTGCACGACTTTACCTGTACTTTTGAGTAATTATTAGATTTCCATCAGGTTCAAGGCTTCGTATTGGAACAAATACAACACCAAACCTTGGAGATGTTGTGAACAGGGTTCAGTTTGAATTTTTTGGAGGGCAGAGCCCCAAAATGCCTCCTTTTGGATTCCTTGCACTTTAGGGTGTCAAAAGCAGACAGATCTCACTTGTTCCATGGCCCACTGGCCCTGGTGCTTTGTCATCACGCTGATCTTTTCCCTTTTCATAATTGGATGTGCTCTCCCTCCTCGATGAGTGACATTTGAAGAGCAGCCTGTGGGATCAATGAGAAAGCTGGGCTGGCAGAGAGAAATAATCACTTTTATCAGCCCAACTGACATAATTGGAATGAACAGCCGGGCTTTGGGCATGGAAGACTTTCCTGAGGACTGTGAGGAGCTGGTGAGGAGTAGGTGCCCTACTGTGCCTGCCCAGATGTTAATCACAAACTGGAATTAAGTGGCCTGGCCAGATCAGGCTCTTGGCAAGAGCTTGGAAGTGACAATCCTCAACAAAAGCAGTGCTTGGCTGCAGGGAGGGGAATTGGTGAAATTCCTTGCAGGGAGGGGCGTGAGGAGGCAGCAGCAGGATGCAGAGGGCAGGGAGGGATCGCTCCCCCTCTGGCTGCCGGCTCACAGCAGCCCTGCTGCCCACCCAGAGGCACCCTGTGACCCTGGCAGTGCCCACTCAGAGGGGATTCACTCTGCTTTCCCTCTCCTTGCTGCTGCATTCCTCTGGATGTGCCGGCTGTGGCTGCTGGGAGGGACAGGGCACCTCCTGTGCCTTCCCCTGGGGGTGGAATTGCAGCTTCCAGGACCTGAGGGGACCTGCAGGAAAATGGAGAGGCACTGTTTACAAGAGATCGGACAGATGGGACACAGGGAATGGCTTCAAACTGCCAGAGAGCAGATTTAGATGGGGTTTTGGGGAGAAATCCTTCCCTGTGAGAGTGAGGAGGTGCCCAGAGAAGCTGTGGCTGTCCCTGGATCCCTGGCAGTGCCCAAGGCCAGGCTGGATGGGGCTTGGAGCAGCCTGGGATGGTGGAAGGTGTCCCTGCCATGGCAGGGGATGGAATTCAATGATCTTTAAGGTCCCTTCCACCCAACCCATTCCAGGATTCTTTAGGCTCCCTCAAGCTGCTGCTTCAGAGCAGCCCGGCAGGGTCAGGGTGCACTGGGCAGGTTTTTGGGGGGATCAGAGCGCAGCCTCCTGGCTTCTTTTCCTCTCTGTCCCTCCAAGCCATGAGAGGGAGCCACCCCTGGCTCGCAGCTCCTCGTTAATCTCTTCTTTATCCTTGTAGGGAAGAGCGGCGCAATCAGAACGAGGGTTTGAGTGATAAAGTGGAGTTTTTGTTTGCTCGTTTCCCTCTGGATCTCCCTGTGTCAGGAGGGAGCTCTGGGTTGTCTCCTTGCTGCAGGAGCAGGGAGGAAAGCCCAGGGTTCCCTTTGCACTCCTCTGTGTCAGGAGGGACAGTGGAAGGGACAGAGACACTCCTGCCTCCTTGCAAGGGGGTGCTGCTGCCACCTCTGCCCCCAGGGACGGTGCCCACCCCGTGCCCTGCAGGGGAAGGGGCAGTGGGGGGGTTCTGCTCCACTCTGGGGGCTGCAGGATGCTGTGAAGTGCCTGGGACAGCTCCTGCCTCACCCTGGAACTGCCCTAAAGCTGCCACAGATGCCACCGTCCCCACCTCACCCCACTTTTAAAATATTTGAAGGTGGGAAGAGAAATGGAGCAAAGCAGCACCTCGTGCACCGGGGCTGGGATGCTCTGCTCCTCCCCGAGTGTGGACACCCAGCTTTTAACCCCTGCGCTCCCAAGGAAGCAATTGCTGTGTTCCAGAGCAGACCAAGGGACAGGAAACTGCTGGACAGGGCAAAGTGAGGCGCTTTGTGTGGAGCACGACACGGCTGGAACAGCACCGGGGATTCATTGTCTCTGGGCCAGAGCCTGAGCTGCTCATCCACCAGCCAGCACTGCTGGGGATGCAGTGACAGTGACACAACACGAGGGCAGCAGAGGAAACCGGGGAGGAGAGCAGGGCAGCAACAGCCGCAGATAAAAGATGCTTATCAGTGCTTTTTTTCTTCCCCTTGCTGTTTTTCCCACCATTGGGCTTGGTCTCCACAAGCACAGGAGATCGCTGTCTCCGAGCCACCCCTCCCTCTGGGTTTGTCCCTGCCAGTGTCCCCTGAGCCCGTGCTGGTGCCAGCATTCCCTTGTGCTGTCCCCAGGTCTGGTATCCTGGCAGGCTGCACAAGGGGGATCTGCCACATGTGGGGGGTTTTGGGGTGGTTTCTGCTCCATCACCCCACCCAGCAGCTCGGAGGGGACACCAGCCAGGGGCAGGGGGGCACCTTAACACAGCCATAAATTCCCAGCAGCCTGAGCTGGAGTTGCACACTCCTAGTGTGAGGCCAAGGCTGATTCCAAGACAAATGCAACAAATTTTGGCTGAA